GGGGGGGGGGGGGGGGGGGGGGGGGGGGGGGGGGAGAAGGGGCTGAAATATGGAAAACTACTGTTGCTGAGGTGGAAAATTAGCCTGTGTTTCAACGAACCATGCAGCGAAACAACATAGTTGTCAGCAAGTTGCAGCACATTTTCAATGAGGTACTTTGTTTTAGATTGATTTTTAGTAAGATTTTAGCACCGGCAATTGTGTTCGTTCTTCATTCGTCGTTCTTAGCTCAGCTGTCAATGATAAATGATTGTTTTTTCAAAAATGTATTTCCGAAGAGCAGTAATAAATAAATCAAAAATTGAATTAACCCGTGATTCATTGCCTAATTTTCCGCTGACCTAATCGTCAAGTTATTCGCTTCGATATTTTCGATACTTTTCTAAGTTCAATGTTTATCAGTGTTGACAATACAAGTAAAATAAAGCAAGTTAAATTTAAGGTTGCTTGATAGTTCCATTGAGGTACATGTAAGCTCATGGCTTGCAATTTAGCATATAAAATTTCTCATTTGGTTTGAATTTTTTTGACTGGACAATGCTTTTTTTTCGATTTTTGTACCATAAAGTAATTCCTAAATGCTGATGGATTGGTGGAATATTCGGATTTATTGCCCAGTTTTCTTCATTATTCTATTTTTGTGCTGTAGCAGTGGTGCAGTAGAAAGTTATAATAAGAAGGAATGAAATAAAAAGATATGAAATTAAAATTAAAAAATTTGTGAATAACGCATACCGTGGAGTTCCTGTCTCTGTGTATGTGTGTTTTCGTTCAAATTTTTGTCCAGGATTTTCAACTCAGCAACCAAAAAAGCTAGAAAGCTGATATTTTAAAAGGATACTTCCTGCTCATATGCAAACCCACAAATGTAAATACAACCCTCTTCCTTAACCACAGATATTTTAATTTTTCGGTGCGGATGCCGAGCTGGTGTAGGGACCAGACATTTTGATAGCCGTTGCACATATCAAACTGTAAAGCAGTGAACAGCAAGCGCTGACTGAGCAGAACTCGCAAAACCCATAGACATACCACCCATCCTGGTGCGTCCACCTACTACTGTTTTTTTAAAGGTGGAGGCTTTATCTTAGCTTCTTTTTTTTCTGTTACCTTTGACTTTGCATGCATTTAATGGCAATATTCGCAGCGATTTTTGCTCAATTTAAACTAACAGTAATTGATTTTTGATCTGTTGCAGAATGCTCAGCTCATCACTTATCAACTTATCCAGATGTGTTCACTGTCACCAGGCTATCTCATCGGCCGCTGCTGCTCTTTTCACAAGTCGGTTTTCTTCAACAACAGTGCCAGATTTTGATGTACTGGCCCGGAAATTTCAACAGTGGAATGAGAAAAAAAGCGATGGCGATGTGGCTCTCTCGGATGAGCTCGTCGAAAACAGAGAATGGCTAAGGTGGGTGAACACAGAAGTGATCGATTCGAAATCGTTTTCTTCGTACAATGGGTCTGGGTGTTCCAATCCAAAACTAACGTCTGAAGCTAACTTCAGTAATCGATCTAAGTGTAGCAATTGTGACTTAAATAGCAGGAGCTTAGGAGGGATCGGTGTGCGATTTCCTGTACCAGTACTTTAAAGAACTGCCTGGCCGCAAACGGAGAATTGTTTTTTATGCGTTTTTCGCAGCTATGTAGTGCGAAAAATGCATATTGACGAGAGGTTTTCTGTGTGTGTGTGTCTGTGTGTCTGTGTGTCCGTGTGTGCGTGTGTCACGGTTTTTCATCTCAAGACCTACAAAAGCTACAGGGCTGAAACTTTGGAACTTAATCTACACGAACGTACGGGCCCCAATCCCCAAAACGTAGGAACGTACGGGCCAAATTGGCGCCATTACCTGCGTGGCACCCGCGTACGGGCCCGCCAAAATTTTTTTCGGGTAAGTTCATAACTTGGGTATCTGAGAAGCTAGAACGCTGAAATCTTAGGGTGATGTTCCCCGTCCAAGTGTGTATTAGTGAGCTCAAACCCAGCCCGCGGGTAAGCGTGGTACCCGCGTACGGGAGCGCCAAATTTTTTTTCGGGCAAGCTGATAACCCGAGTACCTCAGAAGCTGTAATTTTAAGAATTTTTAGAGGATACACCCCATCCATCTAAGTTTCATTCAGCTCAAACCTAACTCTCGGACATGCGTGTTAAACTCGCACGGGCCCACGAAAATTTTTTTCCAGTAAGTTGCTAACTCAGGAGCCAGGGAAGCTGGGAAGCCGAAATTTCAAGGGGGAGGGGGGGG